CTCAAAGGCTATGACCGTTAAACTAAATTGTCAGTTTGACTGCTTGTGAGGCACCTGGAAATTAATAAAGCACATTCTGGGTGTGACTCAGTGGGTCAGGGAGGCGGGCCCTTGTGTGCTGTGTCTGCTGTCTGGCTCGTTTCTCGCTGTGTTGTTCCCCTGCTCAGCCTTCAGGCTCCCATGAAGTATGCAGATTTGCTCCACTGTGATACCTTTCCACCACGATGTTCCAGCCCTGGAACCAGACAGTCATGGGCTCAACCCTCCAAAGCCATGAGCCAAATCCACCCCCTTCTCCTTTTAATTGTGCATGTCAGATATTGTAACCTGAGACTGGGAAAGCGGAACAAGACAGAGGCTTTTTGTTCATATAGGTAGGAGGGATAAAAGCTGCTTCTTTATGACATTAAGAAAAAACTACAACATTCTCTTTCCAATATTGCTGTTATCCTTAGGTCATTACTCTAGCAAAAGGCTCCATTCACTGAAAACAGAAATCCTGACCATAGCCTCCTTTTGAGCCCGACAGCCATCTCACAACCTGATTGCTACCTGTTTTTCTTGTGGTTTTCCCTTGTCTTTTGTTCTTCCAAACTGAATATTTGTAGGACCTTGAAAACTTTCCACTTCTTACCCACAACTCTAAGGTCATAAACAAGTGAACTGTATCTTGATCTTGGCCTTCATTTCTAATTGGTTCAGCTTTGGCGGCATTCTTAGGAGCTTGTTGCATGCAATTGTGATTATTTCATTGTTTCAGGGTAGCTATTCTTCATTTCTCTTTATGATATTTTAAGTGGCTTTCAGAGAGGGGTATTTTTGGGATTTTGGAAGTGGTATACTTTAAAAATTATTTTGCAAAGTGAATAATAAGTCTGTTTTTCTTAATTTTAGTTATACTACCATTAAAATTAAAAGCCCTTTATACATGAAATTGTTTCTCTTTTGTATTCAATTAGCAGTGGGAAAATATCTAATAAGATAAATTTAAAGGGTTGTTCCTCATACAAGGTTGTTGATTTCTTCAAGATATGTCTACTTTTATTTATGTGCTATGATTTATTGAAAATATGCAGCCTTGGTTATGATATTCTTATTAAATTTCCTCTCTGAGGAGCAGTTTAATGTTATAAATGTGCTGTTGTCCTGCAGTGTTCACATATCTTTAATATAACAAAAACCAATCAAGGATCCTGGAAATATCAGATGCCATCCTTTCTAGCTAGAAAGGTAAAAATGCCACACACATAAAGAAAGGGACACTTTGGTGCTTCAGCTTTCTGTATTTCTCATGGCATCTTTATTTTCTTTCTGCTGAGGACTCTTACTCATAGATGCCAGTGAAGCAAATATAGATAGTGGTATGTAGATATCTCAAGAAATGATCAAAATATACAGTGAGTGTTCAGATTTTAAAAGTTCATTACAATACACATTGCTGTTATTCCCCCTCAAAAGACTTCACCTCACTCTAAGCATACCTATTTCACCTGTCTACACAGAACTCTAAAGCAGTTCTGGAAATTTTTTTTCAGTCTTTATGAAATTCAAAATGCACTGAGTGCTGCTGCTGAGTTGCATCCCAGGGAAAAGAAGGATGAGAAGACCATCACGCTGTGCCCTCATTCACCTTGTTCACTGGATCTGGCGCCATGGGGTGGCTAGCTCTTCTCTAAAGTCAAGAAGAGCATGAGAGGGCAATGTTTTGAGTGGATTCAGGACATCAAGTGGGCCAGGAGTGTGCAAAAGACACTCAAGAAAGAGGATATCCAGACCTGCTTCAGAAAGTGGCAAGAATGATGCTAGAAGTTCATCCAAAGTGCCAAGAAGTATTTTGAGGCATACCACTGTATTTCACTGTAGTAAAATGTTTACAATTTGAGCATTCATTTTACTTTTTATCATATTTTTACTATATATGCACAGTCTGTAGAAAAATGTATAGAGTAGACACAATATTTTGGAGTCATCTTTATAAGTTCATAAGTCAATGACTATGGAAATCTTATATGTTTGTAGCTCTCCTCTAAATCATCTTTTCATTTGTTTGCTGTATCTTGTTTAAAAAAAATCATTTGCTTTCACTGTATACAACCTTGTGCCAAAAATCAGAAACATTTTCAACTTGCAGAAAGAGATGCATCTACTCAGATAAATTTTAATCTGACGAAACTTCCCAGCCACTTTTTAAAAAATCACTTTATGGAGGTTCTGGCATTCATGATGATGAATGAAGAATAAGGAAGGCCAAATGGAGGGCAAGTGCTGGCGCTCCGGTGAGTGAGGGCTGTTCAAGCACCAGCAGGGAGGCACACCAGCCTGAATTAGTATTTTGATTCGCAGCCTTTGCAAGATCTCAAATTACTGCCTGCCATAGATCTTTAGGGCTGTTGGTCAAACCTGCAAATATTAAATCATCCAGTAGAGGTTTTGGGTACAGGTTCAATGGCCGATGATGTTGAAAAGTTCCAATTTTCAGCAGGTTCCTTTATCTCTCAAGGATAAGCAAGAGAATTCATATTTTACCAACCCAAATATTAAATTACAAAGTTTATGGTAAAGTTCCCTACAGTCAAATTTTAACACTGACTTCAAATTCCCATTGCAAATTTACACTTGGTTTTCCAATTAAAATGGGCTTTTGCAAGTCTCCTGCTGATAGCCATTGGCTTGATAAAAAGTAACTTCATTTGTAGCAAGGGTGTTTAGGGAACCCCGTGCAAGCCTGACTCTTTTGCTATTGCCTTGAGCCCAGCTGTGCTGAAATATTAAACTTTAGTAAATTAAGTGAAATTGCAGCTTCCTGGTTGATGCAATAATGCCCCTTTCTTTTCCTACAGACGATCTTTACCCTGAGTTTTCTGTACAATCCTTCTGCACTGAGAGAAATATAATTCAGAGTATCTTCCAAATCCAGGCAGCTTCCCCATTTTAAAGATAATTGTGCCATGCCTACTTATTTAACAGAGGGCATAAACTTCCAAAGATGTATAATTGCATTACTATACTATTTAGCCATATCTTGATAGAGCACTATGTTATTATATCCTACTCAGAAAAACGACTGGATTCCCTAAAATTGTCAACCGTATGTGAAAGTAGCTGCCTTTTATTTCTTGATTAGTACATATTTTAGCAACAGTGGTGAGCTATAGAAGGAAATCATATTTTAGTCACGTTTATTTTTAGCTTCTTGTTCCTTTTTCCTCTTTAAGCATAGCATGGGTTCCAAAGCATCCTTATTCACTGACCAAACATTTATCGATCAATTATATGTGTATAAGCCTTTTTTAAAAAAAAAAAATTCAAATATTTTTAGAGTGCATGTAGAATTAGCAGAAAGGAACTAGACAGTATTACATTCTCTGCTTGTGATATGTAGTTATTTCTCTCATGAAAAAAATCACCGGCGACCACTGAATGTAGAAATACAGGCTACTGCTTCCCCAAAAGTTTCTCCCATAACCTTTCCAGTTGTGACCTTACAGCCCTCGGAGACTTCAGTTGTAATATAAGTGTTCTGTGACTTGGGAAAGCAATACATTAAAGCTTTTTGTAACTTAAACTTTCTTCAAGCTACCTTTATTAAGTTATTCCCAATATGGTAGAGTGTAAGGGTTGCTTTTGTGAAGATAGAACATCTATACAAAAGTAGAATGAATGGTCTAATGAGCCTCATATAGCCACCATGAGGCCCACCGTCATATGTTGGTGTGAGGGATAGAACCCAGGAAGTTTGCATGGCGGGGCTTGGGGAGTCCCTGGGTTATTTGTGCATAGGGTCACTTAGGGCTGAGTCCCGTTTCTAAATAAAAACTCAGACAGCAAGAATATATAACATCGTCTCTCTTTTGTGATAAAAGGAATACTAACCAATAAATGATAGCGATCTGCATGATCTAAACCAGGAGTCTGTACTTTAGTTCCAGCTGTTGTAACAACAAGGCCATAAACTGGACAGCTAAAACAACATTTATTTTCAAAGTTGTGCAGGCTAAATCTGAGGTCAGCCAGTCTCCTGGGAGTGTGTACTTGGAGGATAGTTGCTGGCTTTCTTTGTAGAGAGCTGTCTGAAAGCAAACAGCTTTCTGTTTCATAAGGGCACTAATCCTGTCATGGAGGATCTATCCTTATAGCCTCAGAAACTTTCGAAGACCCTACCTCCAAATGACATTACATTGGAATTTCAACATAAGAATTTTAGAGAGACACAAACATTCAGGAAAAGATTATACGAATTAAATTTAGCAGAATTTACTGGAACACAGAAGGATTCATAAGCCAGGGAGCACTCAAAACCGGTGAGTGCCAATCTTTTACAGGGGGGGGACATAGCCGCATAGTACAGAAATCACCTGATTGGATATAGCTAGGTGCCTGCCTTATTTGATCATAGTTTGATGAGGTAACTATTTATGATTGTCTGGATCTTGTTCGCTTGTGATTGATTGGAATTCAGGCCTTCTTTATACACTTCAATTAGGTTCTGGGTTTGAGTAAGAACTCAAAATCCAGAGGTAGCCCTAGATTAATGCGTTCCTTAATCGCAGTAACAAAGTTTTTCTGGAACATGGGTAAGTCTTTTAGGCCTTAATAGCCACAGGATCTGTTACCTTCCTACTCAACTCTGCCCTTAAAGCACAAAAGCGGCCATAGACCACACAGCCATATACAGTCACGGATGACACCAAGTAGTGGACATGGGGGTGTTACAATAAAATAAGTTATGAAAGCCGGTTGGGGTAGAAAAGTGGTGGTCTGCCCACCCCTAAGGACTTTCTGGTCTCCATGAATATATGTTGAACTATGAGCAACTGCAGTGATCCATACAAGCAACAAATCCCTGGCAGCCATTCAACGTAGGAGGAGGATCCAGCAGAGCAACTCCAGTTTGCAAAGTTTGCGAAGTGACCCTTTCTTCCCTCTCCTCTTCCCGCCTCCTTGCCACCCCAGCCTCACGCTCGGCTGCAGCGACGCTGACCGAGTCAGGGTGCGATCGGATGGGCTGCGTGGGCTTCTTAGGAGCTCGGCGCGGGGACTCCGGAGAAGGTGAGGGCGCTCAAAAGTTGGAGCCCAATCAGCACGGAGTTGAGCTCGCACGCCCCAACCTTCAGGTGACCCCGCGCGGCGGCAGGCGGCGGCTGCAGCGACCAGAGCCCGCAGCGCTCGGAGCGCCTCCGGGAGGACAGGCGGCGAGCGAGTCGAATCGTCATCCGCCAGCCCAGCGCCAAGCTCCGTGCCTGAGGGCCGGGAGGGAGAAGCGAGGCTCCTGTGCGCGCCGCGTCCTCTCCGCGCTGCACGCTGTCCTCGCCCCTCGCCGCCGCCTTTGAACCCCGGGGAG